TATATATATATATATATATATATATATATATATATATATATATATATATGTATATAATATATATATATATATATATATATATATATATATATATATATATATATATATATATATATATATAATACTGATTGTGGAGTAAACACATGTAAATGTTGTATAGTAGTTAATTGTTTAAAATTGTGCTTATTATGCAAAAGTGCCTAGTGCAATTGGCTTGTGTGCAAACAACAGTGTAATGGCCGGAGCAGATTGAGTGCAACTGTAGACATTAATAGTGCAAACTGGGACATAGAATATCATATAAATGAAATTAATTGAATAAAAATCTGATAGTTGATGGACAAAAAAAAGTGAGTCTGGCAGTCCTGCATCTAACACTCCTATACCCACGCCCTGAGGGTAGGAGTGTGAATGTTCTGTGTTATGGGTGTGTGGGGTCTTTTAGGATGGAGGCAGCTCTCTCGTGGACTCTGTGATGGTAGATAGTCTGCAGGGAAGGCAGTGGGGTTCTGATGATCTTCTCTGCAGTACTCATTCATTTTCCTTCGGCTTAGTCCTTTATTTATCAGGGGTCGCCACAGCGGAATGAACCACCAACCACCAACTATTCCAGCATATGTTTTACGCACCGGATGCCCTTCCAGCCTCAACCCAGCACTGAGAAACACCCATACACATTCATTCACACACACACACACACACACACACACACACACACACACACACACACACACACTCATACACTCAATACAGAAAATTTAGTTCATCCAGTTCACCTACAGCGCATGCAAACTCTACACAGAAATGCCAACTGGCCCAGCCTGGACTTAAACCAGCAACCTTCTTGCTATGAGGTGACAGTGTTAACCACTGAGCCACTGTGTCGCCCTCCAGTAAAAAGATGTATAATATAAAATTAAAAAAACGATTTTGCTCATGAAATTCTCGGATTACCAGTGATTTGCATGGAGGCCGAGCCGGCGGTGACTGATGGCAGCGAGTGTTTTGCTTGTGGAGTCATTCGGTCACAGTCTCTCTCTGTGTGTTTTTCTCTCAGGTTCTGCGGGTGAAGAATGATGTGCTTTGCTCTGATGTAGGAAAATAAACCTTTCTAATGTGACACGGCGCTCTGGCCCGAGGAAGAGAAAGGCCAAACAGAAATCAACAGGGCCTCCGTGTGGCCCCGCAGCAAACTCCCTGAGGGCCCGTATGGTTTACACCGCTGGGCAGAAGGGCCCGAGACTCTGGGGGAAAATCAGACCACATGCTCGCTGAAACGGGAAATATTTATATTCTCGGAGAAACAAAAGCGGTTAGTCGGACTCGATCTGAGAGCCGTGTTTGCGGGCAAACCTTTCAGCAGATCTCGTTTTCTGTCCTGATGCTCGTTCAGAATAACAGAGCGTATTGATTTGGTGTTTAAGACTTCACATCGTGTGTGCTGAATTACTGTAATGCTCCAGGGTCAGTAATAATTTACAGGATGGACTTGATGGATACGTACAGCTGAAACTAAATTATTCTCAGTGTGAAATTTGCATGAATTTTTATTAAGTATTTCCAACTGTTTACCATTAACATAACTAATTTTATATGATAATTTCTTTTATCTTTGGCATTATGACAGTACGTAATATTTTACCCGATATTTTTCAAGATGCAATTTTAAGGCTTCATTCATTCATTTTCTTGTCGGCTTAGTCTCTTTATTAATCCAGGGTCGCCACAGTGGAATGAACCGCCAACTTATCCTTCAGTGTTTACACAGCAGATGCCCTTTCAGCTGCAACCCATCTCTGGGAAACATCCACACGCACATTCACACGCACTCATACACTACGGACAATTTAGCCTACCCAATTCACCTGTACCGCATGTCTTTGGACTTTAGGGGAAACCGGAGCACTTGGAGGAACTTGGAGGTAACCCACGTGAATGCAGGCAGAACATGCAAACTCCACACAGAAATGCCAACCCAGGCTCATTCTGAAAACGTAGTCCAACGGACGTTTCTGGAGACTGCGAAATACGGAACGGGAGGTACGTATTTGTGCAGTTTTAGTTTTCGCGAATCCGCGAGAGGCCGCTGTGTGCGCTTTTTCGTATCTCGAACGTCTCTGGCGAGTGCCGTAGGCGCCCGTGCTGTTCTTGCGTCAACCCACCAGAGGCCGCTGTCTGACTGACCGAATGATTGACTGCGCGACCGGCCAATCGGCTGACCCACCCTCCTCCTTCCCTGAACCCAACCAGTTTCACCGATTGACCTGGACTACGTTTTCAGAATGAGCCTGGGTTGAGAAATGCCCATCTACTGCGCCACTGCGTCGCCCCAGTTTTAAGGCTTAACTAGGTTAATTAGGTAAATATAAGTTAATTTAATTAGTGAAGTCGTTGGACAACAGTGTTTTTTTTTTTTTTTAGTAGGTAAGCATAAAAATAAATGCTTTTTAAATCATTAATGTTTATTATTTGTGAAAATTAGAGTGGTTTCTAAATGATCGTGTGAGACTGAAGACTGGAGTTGTGATGCTGAAAATGAAACACAAGAATTAATTACTTTTTAAAATACGCATTCCCATAGAAAACGTTTATTTTTATTTGTAATAACAGTTTCAGATTTTCTTGTTTTAACAAAGCCAGACCCTTCAATCAAAACTCAAACATGAGATGTGAATTAGCTTCATAGCTAACTCTGGCACAACATGTCATGTTGTACATTGTCCCTGTATAAATAAATAAAATAAATAAATAAAAAGAAAAAAAAGAAAAGAAAAATTCCACCCCCTATTATATATAGAAATAGTAGCAAATTAAAAACATAATTTATTAATTATTAATATCTACTTTTCAATTTAAATGTTAAGCACTGAACCAAGATGCTTTCCCACTCAGAATGATGTCATTTCATTTTCCATCCAATGAGTTTATTCATTGTAGTTTCTGCATATTTTTTAGTAGAAATAACTTTTATCCTACATATTAATGCATGTGTTTTATGCACATTTTCAAAATGTATGTGCATCTTGGCATTTCCATTAAGCATTTTAAATGCAATATTGGAAAATGTGCATAAGAGTAGGTTAAAAACAGTGGCTATCAGTTTCCATTCATTTATTCATTTTCCCACAGCACCCTGGACCGCCTACCAGTTTCACATTCTTCAAAATATCTTCATCATCTTCAAAATATGTCTGAAATAAATGGTGAGTAAATTTTACTTTAAGGTAAGCTAGCACTTTAAAAGATGTTTCAAAAGTCACCTACAATCAGAGGGTAAGCCCTTTAATAGACTATTTCAATGTGGTGATGTCACCGGCCCACTGGCTTCTTGTCAAACTATTTCATAACTGTAACCAGAGGCAATTCAATCATAACCTAATGCTGTCATTATAATATTTATCAATATGTGGCTCTTTTTGGATTTTCGGAAACTAGAGAAATTAAAAATGTAAAATACGAAATACGTTGGGACCATTGGTTTTGTTTACATCCAATTAAAATGGTCTATAGTGAGAAATAGCTTTTTCTGATCTGTATCTTAAATATTATTTAAAAATAGAAAGCATCAATATAAATTTGACCACCCCTATAACGGTTCATACCATTGTGGATGCATAATCAGTCGGTAGCACTTTAAAATAAGGTTCATTAGTTAATGCATTTACTAACATGAACTAATCATGAACAACACATGTAGAGCATTTATTAATCATAATTGAACATTTACTAATGCATTATTAACATCCAAGTCCATGCTTGTTGACATTAGTTAATGCACAATAAGTTAACATGCACTAACAATGAACTACTTTATTTTCATTAACTAACGTTAACTAACATGAATAAATACTGCAGTAAATGTATTGTTCATGTTTGATCATGTTAGTAAATGCATTAATTAACATTAACTAATGAACCTTATTGTAAAGTGTGACCAATCAGTCTATTCCAGAAAATCATTCATTCACTGGTATTCTAAAACTGGCAGATTGAGCACAGATTTTCTCAGTTTTCTCATAAAAAAAGGGGATTGCTTCTACATATAGCCTAAAGGTAAAGTCAAATTAGATGCATAGTTTGTATAGCTTGGCCAACAGTAACCTCTAAATAGCTAATCAGAGGTCAGAATACAATTATCCCTAAAACACTACACTTAAATACATTTAACGTGTTAATTTATGCTTAAATAAGTTTACAAAACACAACATTTATTACACAGCAAAATCCTCTGAGTAAAATTTATTTAGTTTAGATAGTATTTGGTCCCTTTTTAAATTGAGATAATGTTCACAGCCTTAGATGAAATATATATATATATATATATATATATATATATATATATATATATATATATATATATATATATATATATATATATATATATATATATATATATATATATATATATATAT